CCACTCGCTGCTCACACAGCCCCACGCTCCCAGCACTGCCAGCGCGGGGGGACAGGGCTCGGCGTGGGGGAGAAGGCAGAGGCTGCTCCAAACGGGAAGGGAGAGAGGCCCAGGAGCAGGGATAAGGTGTGGCCATGGCACGGGGAGGTGTTCCAGCACTGCCTTGTCCAGGTGGGTGACAGTGGGGTGACTACAAGCAGCAGCCAAAGGGACCGTGGCTCACTTGGTGGAGAAACGCCGGACTTCGCCCCGTGCAGCCTCTGCCAACACTGAACTCCACAGAAGCATCCTCCAGGTCCCCCCAGGCACAAATCCCACTTTTCCCAGCAGGACACTTCCCTGGAGTCACGCATCAACAGCATTCTGGGGAGATCAGAAGGTGCACCTATTCCCCTCACCCCCAAGCAAACTGCAGCATGTGTCACTCCAGCAAGGGATGAACCGAACTTGTTCCCTTGTCACAACACCCAGGAGAAAGGACCTGGCACAGTGTCCAGTGAAACCCTGGAAGGGCCAGGAGAGGGGAGGAATAGCATGAAACTCAATGGGCAAAGATTGAGCTTCACAAATTTCCACTGGCATCTCTTTCTACAGTTTCCGCTGCTGAAAACAAACCCGAGCCACGGGGAGGTTTCTGGACTGTTCACACTGTCACTCTGGGTAACAAGCTCACTGAAGCTGGGTAACTCAGAGCTCACTGAAGCTGGGTAACTCAGAGCTCACTGAAGCTGGGTAACTCAGAGCTCACTGAAGCTGGGTAACTCAGAGCTCACTGAAGCTGGGTAACTCAGAGCTCACTGAAGCTGGGTAACTCAGAGCTCACTGAAGCTGGGTAACTCAGGGCGCATCAGCTGGCAGGAGGCACCTCCAGGAGTTCTGCTGCTGACTGTGCTAACACCATTCCATTTACAACATGTACAAAAAAACTTCTGACCAAGAAATGGAGAGGGGAAGGATGTATTTCAGAAGCACAAGCTTGTCCCAGGGAAAAACCAGTCCTGCCCTGAACTGCCATGCCAGCTGCCTCGTGTTGGTAATGGCCACATCGATTCTGCTCTGCTCTTAGTTCCTTACCTCCAGTGATGACACTAACCAGACCCTGGAGCTGCAGGGTGACTTCCCAGCCCTCAGGAAGCCAAGTGCTTTCGGCTCCTCTGCCGCAGCTCAGACATCACCCGTCCATCTGGCCTGTTGGACACGGCTGCCACGCAAACAGCCAAGGCAGCAAAACGGACGTTCATCTTTTCCTTCAGTTCTCAGCCAAATTCTTGATTTTTTTGCTCAGGATGAGTCTGCATAAAAGCGTGAGACTCTGCCCAGTGAGAGCAGCATAGACACAAACTCTGCTTAAACCCCTGCTGCAGAGGCAGAGACATTTGGTAGGTGTCTGAGTGAACCCTGCAGACTGCAAACCGTGTATCACAGCATCTAAATCTGCCAGAAGTGGTGTGTCAGAAATCTCAGTAAAAGAGCTAAGTATTATTCTGGGTTTTTAAGGGAATTTAATGTAGATAGAGATCTCTAGGAATTAAAGTTTTCAGCACCAACTCTCCTGCTCACAATTGAAACTACCTCTGAAATGCTAAGGGACATGGACACACAGGACAGAGCACAGCTTCACAAAAAGGACGAGGTGCTGATCTCCAGTGCTCAGGTGCTCCTACCAGATACTGGTCTGACACCACCAGTCCAGGTCACTAGGCCTGTTTGCTCCAAGCCCGTGAGACCTGGTGATACAGAAGGAAGTTTTCTTGTGCTTTCTGCTACTCTCAGACCTGTACTGTCAGCTTAAACACTGAGCAAGTGTTTTATAACAACCTCCACTGTTAGGTATTGAAGCTGAGTAAGAAGAGTTCTTCACAAATAAACCAAAAAACCCATTCCTTTAGGATTAGGTCCCGTTATCCTGCAAATAAAGTGAGATGAAATGTTCATGTTGCAGCTTGGAGTGCAGGTGCTACACCAGGCTGTAGAGCTGGGTGAGGGAGGGGTCAGAGTTACAGTTCTGCTACACTGAGAGTTTAATTGTGGGGATCATTTTTACCTTGGCATGTCTCTGAATTACATATATGCAGAAGCTTAACCACCTTGCAAGACAAACTGGCAGCCAGAGCTGCTGCTCTGCCCTCAGTGCATCTTGCCTCATTTCTCAGGGACCCCTCCTTGTTAGGAAACTTTTCAAACATAAATGGAGGCATAAACGACTCCAAATCTGTTTGTGTCACCGCAAACTGACTTTCAGTTGTAGGCAAGAAAAAGAAAAGGAAAAACGACTGGGGGCTACATGCAAACATTACTATTCAAGAACCCCAACTAACTCAGCCCAGCTCAGAGCCCTGGTCACCAGCACGCTGCTCCAGGAGCAGACAGGAGCTCAGGAGCATGCAAAGTCCTCTGTCAAACACACAGTTCAATCTGCAAATCTGCAAACATGTGATCTGCATTTCTTTTCACACAACAGTACTCAGACATACCCAAAATGGGGTCATTTGGGCCCATTATTACAACTGCTCTGCAGAAGCCCCACTGACACAGTCCTGCCCCGACTGACCACGGCGCTTTAGGCAAAGTGTGGATGGAAGCAGAGCCCAGCGAGGGGCAGAGATCAGCTGGGCAGACAAGCCCATGTGAAAAGAGCAGAGAAACAGAGCTTGGTCAGCTCAGGAAGAGAAGACAAAGTCTTCAAATGCTTCAAATTGAACTGCAGAGATGTAGGGAGTGGAGGGATGGAGGGATGTAGAGTGCTCTCCACGTGCTCTGGAGCTCAGAGAAGGAAGAGGTTTAAAGTGACAAAGATTTAGATTAAACACCCCAAAACCCCTCTCTAATGGTGAGGAGGCCCAAGTGTTGGCATACATCACCTGCACAGGATGTGGAATTGCCAGCAGGAAGAGCCTTAGAAGAAGAACCATTACTTGAGAAGGGTTTAGACTTGTGTACCTGACCTTAGTCAGTGCTGGGAAAAATGAGGACATCTCTGCAGGTCCTCTGTGTCTGAGGCCATGAAACAAAGTTTCAGAGAAAGCTTTAAATTAGACATAGGGCAGGGACACAGCTCTCGGAGCACTCTCACCCTAGACTGAAGCACAGCTACTTGATGAATAACATCATCATTTCATACCCCAACAGCATCTTTCACTTGAAGACACCTAATTGTCCTGCAAAATTCATTAAGTTTCTAGAGAAGTGCGCCAAGAGCTAAACTTTATAAAAATTTTAGGCACAGGAAAAGCAGGGGCACAGGCTCAGCACTTGCAGGGGGTGCCACTGGGCCTCCTGTTCTAAAGTCTGCATTTGCTTTCTTTTAATTAGTTAATCACCTGATTTATTTCATACCAAATATTTGACTGAAAAGCAGATTATCAAGGTGCAGAACTGTCACTTGCTGAGATGCAAATACCAAACCAGGAGGACCAAGGTGCAGCATATCTCTCTCAAACAAAACAGGCTCGAACCCTTAACTAAATAAATCCTTTAAATAGCACAGAAATACCTGCATTTCCCTTCTGCCCTTTTGTACGGGACTCCCTGATTTCCATCTGCATTTTCATACCATCTACTGGGCAGATCCTGAACTACCCGCTGGCACATGGAGGCCCTGCAGGGCTGCAGCCCACGGCAGCTTGACCCAAGCTGAGCCCCCCACGAGCCCAGTTTTATTCCCCATATTAACACCAAGCACAAGACAGTGCCTGGGATGAAGCACCATCCCATACCCCAAATATTCCTAGCAAGTGCATGGGGACAGCACAGCCTGGCCAGCAGAAGTGTGAGGGTAAGGAGAGGAAGGCAAGAGGAGGAGGAGGCCCAGCCCAGCCCACGCCGTTGCTCAGGCGCTGAACCGAGGTGGGAGAACATCTTCCCCCAATATTACTGGCTGCGAAGAGCAGCGACCACATGGCTGTTCCCAGCCACTCAGTGCACGCTGTTTACTATAAACAAAAACAGTAAACAGAAACTCAGCCAAAAAACCAAAGCCGGGACCCCGGACCTGGGTCTCCATACCCTGACTTTCCCCATGGAAATAATTAGTTTCACATTCAGCCGCTGAACCCAAACCACCCAAGGCCCGAGGGAGCCAAGCTGCTCAGTGCATCCCAAACTGGGGCCGCCTGTTTGGATTTGCCAGCTCTGCCTTCAGTCATCCAAACTGCTGCCACAGTTTCACACGGGAGCTTCAAAGAGCCTGCGGATTAAACCTGCGCGGCAGGAGCCAGCCGACACGGGGGTTATTTTTAAACATCTCAACTGTGCACGAAACGCTCGAATGTTGTCTCACTCCCAGCTCTACCCCGGCACCCGGCTCGGGGGGGCTGCGAAGGAGGCGCAGATTTTCCCCAGGGATGGTGGTTATGGGGTTTCTCCGGCAGGTCCCGGGGGTCACCCCGACACCTCCAGCTGCAGGATCCCGCGGGGGTCCCGCTCGGAGCACCGGGGTCCATCCCCACACCCCCGGGGTCACAGGACGGTGTCACTGAGCCCGCAGGGCTCGACGGGGAGGAAGGGCACAAACCCCCCGGGCACAGCCCGCAGGCGGGGGCCACCCCCCGCAAAACCCCGGCAGCTCGTCCCGCTTCCCCTTTCCTGCCGGGAGCGTCCGGCCGACACTGAACGGCGCCGGGGCCCGGGGGAGGCTCCGGCCGGGCCAGGCACCGCTCCGAGGCCTCGGGGCGAGGCGGCACCGCGGCTGCCCCAGGCCCTGCCCGGGGACACCCGGCAGAGTAACAAAGCCCTGGAAGCGGCTTCCCCGGGAGCCACAGCCCGGCCGGGCAGCGGCGGGGCCGGGGGGCCCGCGGGGCGCTGCCTCGGGCCGGGGGGGGCCGGGGCCGGGCGGTCCCCAGCAGGTGCGGGCGGTGACAGCCGCCCCCGGCCCGGGCACCGCGCGGAGGCGGCCGGGCCGCGCTGACAGGCGGGAGGGCATCCGGGCCGGCTGAGGGCCCGACCTTCGCCCGCCCCCGTCGCGCCTTCCCGGGCCGGGCCGGGCCGAGCCGCCCCCTCACCTGCGCGGCCGCCGAGCGCTGGCGCTGCTCAGTCCCTCGGTCCCTCAGTCCCTCGCCGCCGCCGCCGCCGCCATGTTCGCGCTGCGCAGGGAGGCGGGGAGGGAGCGGGGGGGAGCGGGAGGAGGGACCGGACAGCCCGGCCCGGCCCCGCCGCCGGAGCGGCTCCGGGGACAGCGGGGATGGGGGGGCCGAGCGGCCGGGCTGGGCTCGGGCTCGGCTCGGCCCGGCCCGGCTCAGGTTCGGCTCGGCCCTCACAAATTCCCCCCGACCGTCGCTGCCGACTCCGGACTGTCCTCCCTCGGGGACAGACCGCCGTGCTCACTCCGGGCACGGGGCAGACCCTCAGTGTCTTCCCTGTGGGGAAGGGACCCCCGTGTGCCCACAAGGGCCCCTCTAGGGCGGGGCAGACCCCCACCGTGATCTCCAGCCTGGGAACAGTCCCCCCGTGCCAACTCAGGACCCTTTGGACCCCACTGTGAGCCCCAGCCTGGGGACAGACTCCCCTGTGCCATCCCAGCACCGCTGGTGCAGGACAGACCCTCCGTGAGCCCCAGCCTCAGGATGGGCCCCCCGTGCCCACCCAGGACACCCACCCAGGACACAGGGGCACGGGGCAGATCCCCACCATGATCTACACACCTAGAATGGTACCCCAGTGACTGCCCAGGACCCTCTGGGCATAGGGCAGAGCCCCACTGTGACCCTCAGTCTGGGGATGGACCCTCTGTGCCCATCTGAGACCCCCTGGGTACTGCAGAGTGATGTCCATCCATGTCTGGGGCCCCACTGGAGACAGCCAGGCCCCACACAGCACAGCCAGGTCCTGGGGATAGGCAACCCCCAGATATTCCCTTTCCTCTGGTACTGGGCAGGGCCTCTCATGGCAGCACCGTCCCAGCTAGAGAAACCACAGGTGTACACATGTATTTGGGGACTATTTGGAATTTAGTGTCCCTAAATTCCCCCCAGGCAAAGTAAGACCCCTGTGACTCCCAGCTAAGAGGATCCCTTGTGCCACTGTTGTACTTCAGTACCTTCACGCACCATCCAGACAGACCCCTGTGCAAGCTGACCCCATGAGCACCCACGGACCTTGGTGGTATCTCCTGACCAGAGACTTCTCTTTGATGTAGAGCAACCAGAGCCTGCAACTGGTACCTGAAAACCATTCCCTGTCACCCCTTATCTTGGGAACTCCCAGGTAACAAGCAATAGAACAAGAGGAAGTGGCCTCAAGTTGTGCCAGGGGAGGTTTAGATTGGATATTGTGAAAAATTTCTTCATGGAAAGGGTTGTCAATCCCTGGCACAGGCTGCCCAGAGCAGTGGTGGAGTCTGATGTGTAGATGTGGCACTTGGGGACATGGGTTAGTGGTGGCCTTGACAGCACTGGGTGAATGGTTGGACTAGATCTTAGAGGGCTTTTCCAACCCAAACGATTGGTGGTTCTGTGTGACACGTGGCTGCTGCAAGGGCCACCTTTGCCCTCACATCCTCTCTCTGCTCCTTGGATTGCCCAGAGAAAAAAAAAACAACAAAATTCTTGTGTTCTCAAGATTCAGTTCACATCTAAAAGCTGCTCATGTGAGTGGTCAGTGGATCTGAAGGACCTCTGGCGGCAGCAGTGACTTCTCATGACCTGGGTATTTCACTGGGACATTGGAGGCTTCAAAGAATCACAGAATGGTTTCTATTGGAAGGGACCTCAGACCAGCCAGTTCCACCCCCTGCCATGGACAGGGACACCTTCCACTTGCCCAGGTTACTCAGAGCTCCATCCAACCTGGCCTTGGACACTTCCAGGGATGGGCATCCACAGCTTCTCTGGGCAACCTGTGCCAGGGCCTCCCCACCCTCACAGGGAAGAATTTTTTCCTAGTATATTTCCCTATATATTTTCCTACATGCCCTTGGAGTGACACAGGCATGTGACAAGTCTTCTCAGGGAGAAAGCGTCTGAACCATTTCCAAAGTACTTATAGTGACATGGCTAACGTTGGAGTCTCTCCCTGAGTGATTTCTTGTGCTGGGAGATTACATGGAAACTTGAGTGGTTTAGGTCAAAACTGAGGCAGAAGATCAGAAGGAAACATTGCTAGTGTGGACAGGGCTTAATGGAGTCTGGAAAGGTTGTTCCTAGAAAGCCCTGCTGTGTTTGGGGGCTTCCTGCAGTGAGTGGCTTTGTTACCTGTGATGGAGGGAAGGCAGAGCCAGGATTCAGCTGTTCCCTGCCTGCTGCCAAATCTGCGGAACCTCCCGGTCCTGGCTGGGAACCCGCACTGGGGCCGGCCAGGGAGCACAGGATGAGCGAGAGCTCTGGGGTTCATCGAGATGGGGGACCTTCCCACCACTGCCCAGGTCTTCAGGAAGGGCTGGAACCACCTCAGCCCATTCCTGTGCTCCTGTGCTTCCCTTCAGAGGAGTGAATGCCATGGCTGTGTTGGGCTGAAGGCTGCAGGATTCCCAAGGGACTGGATCTCGTGGCTGGACTCTGTCTGCTGAAGACAAGAGACACCACAGAGGTGCTCACACTGGCCTGGTTCAGGTGCTGAACTCGGTTCAGCCTCTGTAAGGCTGAAGGTCCTGCCCAAGGCCAAATAAGCTTCTGCCTGACCAGCAGCTGACTTCTGGGGTACAACAACTAGTCCACAGGTCTTCAACCCCCTTCTCAGGGGAATAAAAAGGAATTAATACTCTCAGAGCAAAATAAACCTGTATTTGCCTCTTTCTTCCCCCTCCCCCTCCCCCCCCAAAAAAAAAAAGGGGCATAGTTCATCAAACAGAGCTGTTCCAGAGCTGCTGTTTGGAGGCTTCTCATGTCTTCTGAACGGTGGCACTGACCATGCCGTGGACCAGCACTGGCCTGGAAAACCTCTTGTTCCTAAAATATTCACACTGAGAAATGGACAGTTGGAAATTCTGGTGAGGACTGTGCACTCCGTTTTAAGATGTGGAACACACAGTTATGGTAGGAGGTGTGTTTGCTTCCTTCATGGTGCTGCCTCTCAACCTGGCATCTGAGCACCTTCTATATGAATTCACAAGTATTACCAATGCTCTTCATGGGTTTCATCAACTCTGGTATTTCCTCATTTCCACAATAATCAGGATTTCATGAATGGAATAAATGCACAAGAACTCAGAGCTGCAAGATGGAGGCAGGAGCAAAATTTCTTCATTGACTTTAATTTGGAATGAGCAGCAGCCGAGTTCAGAGGGATTTACATATGACATCCATATGAGCACCACAGGAATTCAGTTTGATTAATACTACAATGGAAACGAGCTGCAGAAATGGTTTGCCATTTATTCTGAAGTGTTGCCAGAAGAGCTCAGCGCATTTGCAGCCTGGTTTGGGCCAGCTCTCAGAGAGTGCCGGGGTGATGGATGGCTGGGAGGGAACAGCCTCAAAGGGGCACTGGTACCCAGTGCCCGCAGAAGGAGAGAATATAAAGCAGGGGAATATAAGGCAGTGACTGGGAAGAAAACCTCCTGGGCTGTCCTTCTGCCCTCCCTCTGCCTCCCGCGTTATCGCCTGCCAACATCCGTCACCAAACGCCCTCCTAGGCTGATTCCCACTATTTGCAATGTTCCCATTGATGAACTGTGTTTTCTGCCACAAATTGATCCTCAGTCTGGCATGGATGACATAAATATAAACCATATTCTGCTTGAAAGAAAGAAAGAAAGAAAAAGCCCAATGTCCCCTGGTCTGTGACTTTCTTATCCTAAATCTGATACTTAATAAAAAGGTGAGTAATAGGGCATCAGGAAGATCTAGAGGAACATGTGCACCCAGTATTCCTGCCTCTCTCATCCATATGCTCTTCGACCTGACATCTCCCTTGGAGACGGGACATGGGAGTCTTTTCCCCATGCCTTGAAAGGTTATTTACAGAGATTAAAGCCCCGACAAGCAGCAGATCACCTTGCAGGACCTCCCATACGTTTCCTTTCCCAAAGCAGTCTCATATTGAGACCAGCTGTTGAATTTACCAGGGTCTGTCTGCCCCAGAGAGTCTATTTTTGTAGTGAAGATTTCGTGGCCTGAAAAATCACCTTTGTGAATACCAATGCAGTGAATTTTGGTAGTGGGAAATTGCCTGGCCTCGTGCCCCAAACGAGCAATCACAATTGCAGAGTGATCCACTGCGTGAAGGCTGCCCACTGCAAACCCATATGAGCCCCCCTTCCACCTCCTTGTGAGGCAAACGAACACATTTTCTCATTATAACACGTCTCTCCTTCTATTTCTCATGGCTCTTTTCAGCTGTTTCTGTCTTTTCCACATGCCAGGTGGACACCAAGTCTGGGTGCAAAGTGCCAAGGTGTCACCGTGCCATGTCCAGGGCTCACTCCCCTCCCCTCCCCTGCCTGGTTCAACACACCCCTTTCCGTCAGTAAATGCACCCAAATTTAAGCTAAAACCCCTCTGTAAAGAATCCCTCTTGCAGTTCAGATCTGCTTTGCTCACCCTGAACTTCTTCCCAGAGTTGCTGCTTTCTTGATCCCACCCCTCCTTTGCCATTAGGGCCCCGTCAAGCTTGGGTACATATTTATCATATTTCTGTTATTCTAATATGAAATGATTATATAATTATTATTTAATACCAACATACAACCCATAATTATCTGTTTCAGGCTGACTCAGCAGTTGACTGGTATTTCCAAAGCCTGCTATATTCTTCTGTCAACAGTTTAAGGATGCTTCTGTTTGGGTTATCCAGGTTTAGGTGTAAAAACATCAGTTTATTTTCAGTGTATATTGTTTAAAGTTCTTGGCTAATAACAGTCCTGCAAGTCCTTCATCAGCCTTATGAAAAAGATCCGTGTTCTCTCCAAAGGCAGAATTTAGGAAGTTATTGAACACTTGATTTGTTGCTGCTGTTAATAAATTTCGTGTGTCTATTAATAGACCCATATGGGTTTGAATTCCCTTTGTTCCCAGCGTCTTCTAAACATTTCCTACTGATGCTCTTTGATCCTGCCAGCCACGAATCCTTCCTCTAATAGCTCGTTTCTTCTGTTCATACCCTTCACAAATTACTGCACGTCTTAATCCGCGCCGACCCCTCATCCTCCCGTAGGGATTCA